ACTCTTTCCTGCCTATGCAGGGGGTCAGACTCAATGATCTATTGAGGTCCCTTCCGACCCTAACATCTATGAAAACAAGCAATAGGTCCTATATGAGAGAGAGAGAGAGAGAGAGAGATATTTAAGTCATGGAAAGATGTGGATTTAGGGTTAGTTTTTCTAACCAAAAATTGGTAATTTTTAAAAATCAGAGTAAACCAGGTTCCCTGGTGAGAATGCAGTCATTTTGTACTAGTCTAGGTGCTTGAGGTCTTGAAATAGTTAAAAGCTGATATGTTATTTCCCCAGGGCACAAAAACTTCAAAAGTTTGGATACCTGCATTTTTCTGGCACAGATTTGGATTAATTATGTCCCTGTGTCTTTAGTTCCTTCAGTAAATACACACACACAGCCAAGATGATAATCCCTTAGCAAGCCCATGGCAATACTCCCAATATTGTTAGGATGGTCTTTGAATATCCCAGTGAGGGTATATACTTGCATATTCATGTAATTACAGCACCTATTGCTTGGATAAATTCCAGCACTAAGTCACTTAAAGAGCCAATAAAAGCACCAGTGGCATTTTAAATTTAAAACGCATTTTATTGATTTACTGTTCCTTTAAAACTTGTGGGGGAAGGGTTGCATGAAAAAAACCAAACAAATTTGTTTTGTTTCGTAAAGGAGAAGGATGTCTATAACACCTTGGGGTCCTTATTGTTCTCTCACTGAACTCAAAAAAATGAACAAGGTCCAAACATCCCCACATTGCAGATCCAGCACTGCTTCTTATGAAGGAGAGGACCCCAACAAGTATAACAATCATGTTTCCGTTTGAAAACACCTTACAGCAAAGTCTGTCAATAGCACAAATCCAAGGGCAGGCCCTTCTTTTAAGTTTACAATTTGTGGCCAACCTAGAATTTGCAGTTGGTAAGCAACAGGCACTGAAACATCTCACACCATGATCATACACAGAAAAATATGGTAGCAATAAAGCAACCCATCCATCCCTTCTGAGAAAAGTCTGAAAAATATTCTGTTTGATACAAAGCAGCTTATTTTGTTAGACTAGGGGCGGGCAAAATACAGCCCATGGGCTGGATCTGGCCTGTGGGGCCCCTAGAAAGTTTAGAAAATGAATATTTATCTGCTCCTGGTTGCCTGTCGAAGATGACAGGACACAGGGGCAGTAGGATCCAGGGGCAGCCAGGCAGGATTTGGCAGCCCAGAAGCCCTGCCTCTGCCCTGTGCTTGGCAGAGCCTTCTGGCCTGGGTCCCTGGGGTTGTTCCTGCCTCCCTGCGCCTGAGAGGGAAGTTGAGATGAGTGCTGCGGGGGAGGGAGGGAGGGGAGGACCATGGGCAATTGCCTCAGTCCTTGGGGCCAGGCAGCTCCTGCTGCATCCTGCAGTCCAGCCATGCAGGTGGGAGCTAGTAGGAAAGTGGGGAAATGGCAGCTACAGGCAGGGGGAAGGGGCAGCAAGCAGGCATGTGGGGCCCACCCACAACAGCCCCCCACAAACCCCATACACACCCATGTGCTCCCTCACCCCACACCCACACCTATTCCCAGAGACCCCCCCACAAACCTATATCCCCCAATATACAAAAATAAGACTTCATTTTAAGCTATTGTGCAATCCCTTCTGCATATACTACACAACCATGTAAGTCAGGATAAAGATTAAGAAAAAAAAATAAATTAAAAAAAAAATCAAATTAATGAATGTTGTAGATGTTCACTTTTTATAAGTTTGGTATTTTTCTGGTACTGAGATGGCAAAACACATTTCTGAAAGGAATACTTCCTGGGGCAAGGGGAGGGACTGCTTGTGGCAAAGGTCAGGGCAGGACTTCTGGTCCCAAGATGGTGACCAGGGGGCAGGGAACCTGTCAAGGGGCAGGGCTACTCACACAGCCCTTGACAGCTTGCCAAAAAACTCAGGAAGTGGCCATCCACCTGAAATAATTGCCCATCCCTGTTAGATAGACAGTGAAGTGAGATACTTTAAATAGTCATGATGCAGATTTGAGCAGGAAGGTGGAACTGTGTGACCTTCTGTGGTCCCTTCCAACCCTTTTCTTCTATAATTCCAACATCTGCCAGTTGTCCCCACAGGACAAAACCTGAAGGCTTGGGACATTGCATTTGGACTAGGAAATTACACCAGATGCTGTGGGATGTAGCTGTTGATTTTGGAGTTGTGGCTGCCGATTCCTGTCACCCTGGCTCTCTTTTGTCTGCTTCCTTAATTAAAGGATAGAGGAAAAAAAAAAGCCAAATCCATACTCCTGTGATTCTGTCCCTTTGTGCTCTCAAACTACATGCCAAGTCATCACAGAATTGTGCAAGTGCATCTTCTTGAACTACAGACACTCTAGAAAGGAGAAACACATCCAGAGAAAAGAGGGACCAGATGTTGTTTGAGCTGATGGACCTCACAGGGCTGTACAAAATACTCCTGAAGGAGCAGCTCGCTCTATAGTGACTTTGCCATTGCAGGCCTTATTCTCCCCTTTTGCAGACAGTACCGACTGAAGCTGGTCTTTTGCAGTTCTGGTGTAAGAGCAGTTTCTACCAAGATGGGCATGATGCTTTGAACTTAACAATGGACTGTGCTATTAAAGTATCCCCACGAGACTGGGTACATCTTGTAACATGGCAGAGCGGTGGGAAGTTACTGTGTCTGAAGCTGCAGATTTTGTTAAGTGGCAAGGAAGAGAAATTCCAAAGGCACATAGGCAGAGTCAAGTTCATACATATTTGGTGAGAGACAGGCAGGGTAGCGATGACTGTAGCAGGTAAATGGTTCATTTATCCCCCCTCCCCCCCAGCCTGGCTTTCACCCACTGACTCCTCAAAATTTACAACATTCACTGACTGCCTTTCTTGCATGCATACCAGCCTCTGGCCTCTTTACTATTCATTCCATCCAGGAAGAGCATACACCAACTACAGATGCTTCCTCAGCCTGATGAAGGGTTTTTAAACCCAAAAGCTTGCTAAGAATCCCGCCCCCCCACCCCAACTATTTGGTTGGGCTAATAAAAGATACCACATTTACCTAAAGAACCTTGTCTGCCAGGAAGTAGAAAGACACTTTTTGAAATACTTCTAAAGGATCTCAGGTCCAGGGGGACACAAATGACAGCCCTTGGCCTTGTATAACAGTTAAGAGTCACCTGGTGTCCTTCTCAAGAGATCTTTGTCTATGTTAAAGGTGTTTTTCAAATATTTCCAACTCCTGTCAACACCAGTGCAGTGTCACTAGAGGCTAGAAATCCTGCCTTGCCTCGATTACCAGAACATTGCATAAGTGCCTGCTGCTCCATGTAAGCCTATACCAAGGGAATTTAAAACCAGCAGGGTACTTACAATCAGCTGCCAGCAGACTGCAAGCTGGAATTCCAGCACAGGGAAGACTAGTCCAGCTCTCTTGCTGGTAAATGCAGAGTGTTTCAAGCTTAGACAGGAGCCAGTTGCCTGTTAACAAACAGAGGTGGGTTTGTTCCAAGTAGCCAAGATGGTAAATAGCAAGATGGTTTTAGTCAGCAGAAATAACATCTCTGCTTGACTCTGGAACAGGACCAACTTTTTTGCAGCATCATTTTAACATGAGGTTGTGAACTCAGAAGCTGGCTTCTGAACTACCATGAGAGCAGATAAGGCTCCTAACAGAGCTGGGAAACAGCTATATTTCTCCAGGTCACAAGTACTAGCAAACATTGGGAGAAGAGGGATTTGTTTTCAAGGGAGGAATCATTTTCATGCTTTTCTTACCCAGCCTCAAGGAGGGATGTGTAATCAAGAGTAATCCGACTTCTACTTGAAGTTGCTAGTATGAAGCTATAGTACCTTAAATTCTCTCATGCCCTTTTGGGAGAACACAGGAGAAGGTTCAGCTGATCTACAGTTGCACTTCAGATTCATTTCCAGATTAGAGAATCCAACTTCTACTGCTCTTTAACAGTGACTGTCAGAGCAGGCTGTAAGTGAATGCAAGACATTACTGTAGCAAGAGTGATTTTGTGCTGCAGAAGCCTGCCAGCTCAGGCTTCTGAATTAAGGGCAGGGGCAAGGCAGTGCAATTTAATTGCCTGCTACTTAAAACAGGCTGCAGAGTGACTGAGTGAATCCTAGCCCACTGGCTGCATACTAAGTGTGACAAGGCAAAGGCATAACTTCTAGACCAGAAGAATCACTGACCCATCCCTGATTTCTTCACGTGGAAGGTAGTGTTCTACCCCAGGGGAAAGGGGAACTCCTTTTATTGGCAGGGCCTTAGACACTATTAAAAAAGGAGTTTCAGAAGAGCTTAGCGTTAAAGTTAAGCTGCTGGATATGACAGCTTCTACACTTTCCATGGCTCAGCATGTATAAAAAAAAAAAAAAGATTCATAGGATTGTAGAGTCAGAAGGGACCACAATGGATCATCGTGTCTGACCCCCCGCCCCTGGCAGGAAGGGCAGGCAGCCTACAGCACCCAGGACTCCCAGGCCGTCTCCCATCCAGGTACTGGGCCTGGGCCTGCTTAGCTTCTGAGATCAGATGCAATCAGTATGGTCAGGCTGTAGGCAGGTGGGAGAATAGGGCTGTCAAATACACAACTCCAGGCACAGCTCTCCACACTGCTCTCCTGTGGTTGCCATCAGGGTCTCTGGCCTCCCCTTCCCTCCTCAAGCTTTTACTTCCTCCCCCTGCCTCAGGGAAGGTGGGAGGGTAGGGGGAGGAAAGCTGGAAGGGTCATGGGCACAGTCCCTGGCCATTCAGAAGTTGGACAGCTCTGTATTCAAGGCAGCTACTGCAAGACAAGGTTAACTACAGAGATGCCTCCTGATACTTGGTGCTCCCCCATCCCACCCAGCAGAAGCCAAGACAGATCACAGATTGTGTGTATGCATACGACTTATTCTCCAAACTTTTTTTTTTTTTTTTAAAAGCTGCCAAACCCCGCCCCCCCAGCCAAAACAAACAAACAAACCCACAACTTTGACTCATTGCACATCTGTACTAAACACTTGCACCATCTGCTTCTTCTGTAATTAGTCCCTCAGAGCACGAGTCCTCAGCCAGCTTGATTCTGGAGCAGCAGCCACTGTGGAAGGAGAAGCCCAGGCACAGCACCACTAGCACTGAAACCATAAGCAGGACACCAATAGCTGCAAGACAGGAGGTGGGGGAAAGTTTCAAGAAGCAGCCATACCTATGGCAATTTAGTAATCCAAGGCCCTTCCCTTCCAATATAAAATAGAAAAAGGTAGTTAGTCATGTTTGGCTGAAAAAAAAAAAAAAAATCAGGCAGAAGGCCAACAACTAGTACATCTCTACCCCAACCTCTGCCTCTTATATGGTGAGGGTTCCTTGCTGAACACTGCTTTTATATGCACATAGCTTGGGTACAGGTTTCATGCACAGATTAATTAAACCTGTAAGGCCTAGTCAACCCAAGACAAGGGCTTCTCCCACCATCCCTCCCCACTCTAGGAGCATGTCAAGGCAATTATTTCTTACTACTTTTACCCTAGAGCTCTCACAGGTGAAGCACCTGACAGCCTGTCTGTGAGAAACATCATATTAACTGGCTAGTACAACTTGAAAAAACAGCCTTCTGTCTTCATGGAAGGATACTACTCCAGTGTACTTTTTGGTAGGTCAAGGCTCTCAGCTGCCTGTTAAGGCTGTGTGCTAAGAGACTTGAAGGCAATATGTGGGCAAAGGCAGCACCTCTCCATAGGAGAGCCAGACACCCACAGCATTTCCAATTAAGGTATTGAGACCAAGAGTACAGGTCACTGAGAGGAGGGATATCTGGAGGGATTGTGGCTACAGTTCATATATCCCATCTTTTCAGCGATTAGATGGAGAATTCTCTTGAACAAGGAGGCAGGCAGTTCACATGAATGCTTCTCCTCTCTACTTCCCAATTTAGTAAACGCTCAGCCGACAACTCCTAGCTTTACAGGCAGCGAGTCACCAGCTAGAAGAGGACATATTAACCCTTCCTCACTATACTCCAGACACCCTAATTCTGTCAAGTCAAAGCTCCAAGTCACAAAATTAAGTGAAGATAGTTACCTTTATAACGGTTGACTGCAAGAGAGCCATTTGTAGCTTCCGGTCTTTGGAGCTGGTTTCTGGATCTTCAAGGGCCCAAGTACAACAGCATGGATAAGCCCCCCTTTCTCTGTAGAGTCTTAGGATAAAAGACAAACCTGAAAGTTTCTCAACAGCTGTGAACAAAAGGCTGTATTCTTCAAGCCTGAAAAGTAGGCTTCTCCTGTAGGCAGTGAAAGTACTACAAAACACTTCTGCCTTGCCCAGGGCTGCCCTACACAGGCTTCAAGTGCTTTTTATCTGCAGAATGACCAGCTAGCCAGCTGCAGTCTGCCATTAGGTGGATAATTGGGGGGGTGGGGGGGGGGAAAAACAAACCCAGCATCACCCACCATTAGTGAAGGATTGGAGCAAGTGTGATACATATGCTTTAAGTGACAGTTATCCAAGATATTGGAGTCAAGATGCTAGACTACAGAAGTCATATTTGAAGGCAAAAAGCTCACTCAGAGACCATAGAAGAGCTGCATGTTTGGAGGTGGGGGGCTGAGAAGGGAGAAGTCTCCACTCTATTTCTCTGAACCTTAGTTGCCATGTTCAAGCTGCTAAATCTTGATAGGACACCATCTCCCCCATAGTGCCACAGACCTCAGGTCAAAAGGAGTCCTTACCTGCTAGGGCTCTCTTGTGGCGCAAGCCTGTTTCTTGGCAGAGAGTGTCACAGCAACCACACATGTTGCTTAGAATAGGATTATCCAGGAGTTCCCACCTGTTGGATGGGAGCAGTAGGAAAGGACCGAGTGAAGATTAGAGGTCTTAAAGCAAAGGAGAGGAGGCAAGTCTCAGGGTATTGCTAGGTCTGCCTGCTCAATTCCCAGGCATCTCTCAATTTAAGAATCTTTCACAAAGTCTTAGAGGAAAAACAAACAAACAAACAAAAAAAACAACAAAAAAAACCACACCAATTCTTTGCTTTTAGCAGTAGCTGGTATGTTGGCTGTTTGGAGCAGAATGAAAGGGACTTGAAACTTGATGCAACAGGGGTGTGCTCTTGCAAGTAAAGTGAAGTGGAGAAAGCATGGATTGCAAATACAAATGGGAGCATTCTTACTTGTGAAGAAAGGATTTGGAAGAGTTACAAGACTTCTCATGGTAAAGTGGGAAGAATTTTGTCCCTCACCCTCAACCAAGACTTAGCTTTGCTGGTTGCTTTTTATGACTGAACCTTGAACTTGGTTTTGTTAAGCTTATTCCAACAAATAACCCTTATATAATAAGGCCTGGGAATAATGCCTTCCATTGCAAAGATTTAGAGGCACTGTATCTTTACATCATGTCAATCATTTTCACACTGTCTCAAATGTCCAGAAGTTATACATTCAGTCAAGATTGGACATATGGATCCATTCCAGTTAGATATGGGTTACTGTCATGCTTGGAACAAGTAAGGTTGGTAGTACATCTGAAGCCATATAAAATTCACCAGCCAGCTCCAAACCAAACATTTGCAGTTAGGCAATCCTGAAAAGGGTTTTAAACACTTCCAAAGCTAATAAACCTGGAACGCATTCACCTTTAGCCCTTATGACAGGCAATATCAGACAGAAGAGCAAGTGGACCAAAGTTATCATGGGCTCAGGTGGGCAAAACCACTTTGTTGCCAGCTGAAGAGTGCACCTGAGGCATGCCAACATGCCACATGGGACAGACTCTGTTCAAGCTTGCCATGCAGAACAGACTATGTTCAAGCTTCTTTTAAACACTTTCTTGGAACGCAGGTCATTCAGTTGATGGTCCTCCTCCCACAACAGCCCTTACCTATTTGTGTCCCTGTGGAATGAGCAGGCCTTCCTAGTGGGGTGCATGAGCACTTGGGGGTCCCAGACCAGCACCTGGCAGTGAAGATAGATCTGCAAAGCAGGAGAAAGGGAAAGAGATGGCTTAACTGCCGATTAGAAAGGAACAGGCTCCATAGATGCATACTTGGGGAAAAACAAGGAGACTTCATTTAAACACCAGCTATGAGTCTCTGGGTTCCAGTAACAGAGGTGGATGTGGCAGATACCCACATATCCATGTAAAGTCTTTGAATTGGTGACTGCATTAGATCCATTATGAACCTATGCTTCTTACCAGTCAGAAGACTTGTGAGGCTCCCAGACTACTGCCTAGTGGGGGCACACGTACATCTAGCACATCCAGGAATTTGAACTAAACTAGAGCAACTCAGTGTTAGCTTTAGAACAACATTGGTTAAACTTCTTGCAAGAGTCAGTTTTGTGAAGGCCAGATGATTAATGCTATGTCTGATGCCCTTGCTTAGAAGCAAGGCATGTCAAAGGATAGACTGTGTGAAGCTCCTGCCGTTACTTGAGGGAAGCATCTTGGGAGGTAAGTTACACTGCTACAAACTATGGGAGGACTATGACAGAGAGGAGCCAATGACTCAGCCCTCTTTCACTAGGGTTTTGGACAGCAGGAGATTTCTCATACAGACAGGACCACACATTTCTTAGTTTGGCGATGGTAGATTACCAAACTAGATGGTACAATAAAAAGCTGCAAAAATTTTTTTCTGTGTAGACCTATAGTAGTTGCAGCCAGAGACTAGCTTTAAATAGTCCTGGCTAGAAACATCTCCGGTATAATTCAAGTTGATCCAGGTACTTATACATTTTTTCTACAAGACGTCTCGACACCAGAAGTGGCATCTCAGGATGCGAGTTACTTACATCTGAGTCCACACCAACAAATCCAAAAGCCTGCAGGGAAACACTGATAGCTTCAGGAGCCTTTCTGGGTAGAAAATGGGAGTTTGACACTTTACCTTCCACAAAACACCTGAAACAGAAAGGCTGGATAAATCAAATCAAGGCCACAGCAGTTGCCTCTGAATAGACAATAATTGTTTGGCCCTGATCTACTTGGCTGTTCTCTCTCTCTCACACACACAAAGTCTTTAAGTTGTTGAAACTGTGTTCAAAGTGAGTGAACTATTTATGAGCAGTGCCTACCCAAGGTTTCAGCAAGTTAACCTACAGCAGTGATGGCATTGGGGGGGGGGGGGGGGGGGGCGCGTGAGGGCCAGTGATCAAGCCAACCACCTGCCTTCTATCATCTTCATTTGCCAATAAGCTACACCTTATTAGTTAAGGCAGGAGGCAGGTCTGAAATAAATATTTGATCAGTAGAAGTTATTTAGGAGCCTTCAGATATTAAACATATTCAGTCAAGATGCTCATGTGATTGCCTGAACTCTACAGTTTCCAAGCTAAACAGATTTCATGAGTTGCCCGAGCAGCAGATAGTTACCCATGGTTTGCAATAATGCTGTAGCTCCTGGGAGATCTGTGGAGTTCTGGGGTTGTGGTGGCCATGCACTCATCCACAAAAATCTGCAGAGGCTGGTGGAAGAAACTCTGTACAGCAAACTCTATATGAATCTGAGAGCCCAGGGGAAAGACCGGGAAGTCTGAAGGGGCACTGAAGTCCCCTGCAAGGAAACAGGATTTTGTATTTAAAGATCATTTCACAGGCTGCTTGTGATACATGTCACAGAATGAGACTTCCAAGTAGTCAAAGCCTTTTGCAAATGTATGTAGAGTCTTTTGGGGAAGGAAAATTAGTGTTCTCCAGTATTAGGCCCATGAATGCCTGCCAAGATAGCTAGCATGCTCTTCAGCTCTTTTCCCCTAACCTCTATGATAAGTTATCACAAAAAGGTAGTCCCTCCCAGATGTTACCAGAGTGGCAGGATTTTTTTTTTTTTTTTTAGGCAAGAGAGAAAACTAACAAACCCACTGCCCTGAGTGTAAGGCTGAAGACAAGACAAGTGACAGAGGAAGAAAGTCTCGGGTCGGTTTCATGAGTCTTCTACAAGAGAAGTGGCAGCACCCACACCACCTTAAGAGGGGGTAAATTAGGTCTAGTTTTAGGACACTGTTTAATAGTGTTGGAAACAGGCAGCTCAGTTAGGGTGGCTCTCTGCACCAGAGATCATGGGGAAATCTGATGGTAGCACCCAGCCTTTCAGTAAGAGTTGTCTTACCGTTCATTAGCATCACCTTGAACATCAGTACACTGGAGGCAGACAGCTGACCAGTAACAGAGGATATATTTGTATGAGTCAAGGATTTTGCACTAGGAAGAAATACATTATTAGACTTATTATTTCTGAAGGGTAAATTCTTGCTAACAGGCACAGAAACTAGAAGAATCCTGAACTGAGTAAGGCCAGCTTGCCAGCCTATCCTTGAGCCATGCTAGAATGGTTAGATTACCCTTCTTTCCCAAAGCCATGCAGCATACAAGAAACTGCTGCCAGATTCTTTTTTACATCTGGGATTTAAGGCAAGTTTAGTACATGACCAAAACCCAAGAGTAGTTCTGCCAACTAGTACAGCTTTGGCCTACTGGTTAGCATCTCCTTCAGCACTCAAAGAAATAGGTCACCTACATCAGCTGGTTTAAGTCTTCCCTTATCCAGCTTGTATCACTACTCATGCTTGTGAAGGACTAATTTCTCATTAGTGGAGCTCATGGTAATTTGGGGATTTTCACTTAGGCATCATACTAGTAAGCCCAAGTGCTGGCAACTTACTCATAATCAGTGCAGTTTATTCTTTCAGTGAAGGAGGTGGCGTAGTATCTGCCTCTCCCAGAGGGAGGCCTATAGGCCAAGTCGGTGAAGTGCTCAAGCACATTCCCAGAAGTCTGTAGGGATCAGGGAAAATGGAAATTAGAACAATCATGTTCCCACTTTCTCCTCCAGGCCACAGACTGAGGGCTAAAATTCCTCCACAAGGAAGCAAAAATGTGTTTGCACTCCTGATGAACTACATCCAGAAATATTGCTGATCAGCCCCTGCCTTGGTAGCAAAGACATTGGTCACTGACTTAACAAAAGAAAGACAGACTCAACAGGGGCTAAACTGCACAGGTCTCTCAAGCAGTTAATATTTCTCTTCCATGGATACTAGACAACTTACTCTGTCCTTATGGTTCCAGGACCATGAATTTCTCAGTCCACATTTAAAGCAATAGTACAGAAAGGAGCATTCAGATCATCTCAGTGGGAGATATTGGTGAGGCCCAGATCCTCTATGTATTTAAGCATATCACTCCTGTTAAAGATCTGTGCAAGTTTGGTGCCTAAAATCCCTTTAAGAATCAGAGCCTTTGCTCCTTTCTCACTTCTAGCCCAGCAAATAGCTGTAGTTTTCCTATTACAGCTGCTCTGTCAGAGAGCATTTCCACCCTCATGCACCCCCAAACTAGAAAGAGAAGCTACTTTAGAGGCATTTGAAGAGCCCACAACTCCAAGCAAAGGTGAAGCTCAAGGCCTCTGCTTGTCTAAGGAGCTACCAGACTCACCAGCTGTGAGAAACTGCAGTCCTTCAGGTCATACTGAAAGTGCAGAAGGCCCTGTTGGTTGTTGATGATAGAGTAGGGGCAGCTGCCCAAATGCAGGAATTGTGGGTCAAGCATGAGGCCAGCTCCCTGGGGGTTCAGGTGTACGGTCAGGTGGATGCTGGTTTTATTGCACTCATAGGATACAGAGTAATTGGACACACTCCTTCTCCCTACAGGAAGATGCAGTCTTGTGAGCTAGCAAAAATGCTTATGTACATTCCATCTCCCCAGAACTACCTAATCCCATTCTCTAGGCTATTTATAACAGGGTGCTTTGCTCCCCCCCCGGCCTTTTTTTTGGTTTCCTTCCCCCCCACCCTTTCTCCATCAATATGGTGGGGGAGTGAGTTCAGCCGGGCTGGGGGCGGTGCCTGGGGCCCAGGGTGGGAATGCACAGCTATAGGGCCCAAGTGGGGAGAGGGATAGAGCCACAGGCAGCTCATCCAGGGGTGGTGAAGGTGCGGGCTCCCTGCCACTGTGCACACTTACTGGGAGAGGGGGTGCACATGCTCCCCAGATTTGTGCATGGGGCAGGGGTAGATACAGGCTGGCAGCTGCAAGCTTGGGACTCCCTGCCCTGCTGCCCTCCCTTTGGGGGCCGCTGCAGCCCAGCAGGTGGGACCCACATGGCATGGCAGGGCAGGGAGGCTCAGTGCCACTGCCAGGAGCCTCACACCATCATGGTGAGGCATCCCCTGCCCACCCAGAAGCAGTGGGGGTGGCAGCACTGAGTTGTATCCCCCACTGCTGCCAGGTAGGCAGGGGGCATCTCACCATGGCAGCACAGGGCTCCCAGCTGCTGTTCTGCCCTGCCACAATGGGTCCCACCTGCCAGGCTGTGGAGGCCCCCGGGGCAGGCAGCAGGGCGGGGAGCCAAGAGCCCACAGCTCCCCCAGGCTTTACCCAGCCATGTCACCTGTGGGGGAGGGGAAGCCAGGTTCCACACTTTGCTTCTCCCCAGTGGTTGTCACCTCCCATGAGCAGCAGCCGGGGCCTGGATCCAGGTCCCTGGCCCTGTAGGTCTGGCAGCCGGGGGCCCCCCTCCAGCAGGGGTGGGGTGGGGAGTGAGGGGCAGTGGCATGGGCAGGGCACCAGATGCATATCAGAGCTGCTCAGCGGCACAGAGCAGTTGGGGGAAAGAGGGCAGCCACAGCTGGACTCATGTCTTGGGGGCAAGGGGAGCTCTGATTTTCCATGATAAAAAACCCAAAATCAAATGCCTAAGTTTATAGGTATTTATAATTTATTTTATTATAGTGACTGAGGCACTGGTAGGCTTCCAAAATTGTAGTTATAAAATTGATAAAACATTGCATTTAACTGATACCTCTCTATAGAGTGGCATTTTGTTTTAATTGCAGAAAAATAAAGGCGGGGGGGCATTAATCAGAAAGTTGGCTATTTTTAAAATGGAGAAAACTAGGATCCCTTGCAATTATTCTTTCCAGGCTACATTAGGGCAGGGTCCTGAAGTGGACACCTCACAGCAAGGAAATGTTCCAGTCCTACTGAAATTAGTCTGTTACAGAAAGGGGTGTGGGAAGTCAGGTTTTAGAAATAGCCCAGGAGTTACTCATACTAGGTTTCTATATCTAGATGCTTAACAGTTAAGAACAGAAGTACATGGTCAAAGCAAACAGCTCCTATAGGAAAGGCGTGTTCAGTGTTGCCAGCTCCAGTTGTTTTAGGTGAAGGCTTACAATATTTGATGGTTTTATATAGAGAGACCAGGTCTGGAATTTGGATTTTCATGAAACAGAGCTCTCATTCACAGGAAACCAAAAAACATGACCCAAGAACATACACAAAGGGCAGAAGCCCAGATAGCAGGGGTTTTTGTCTTTTTTTAATGGTTTTGAACTTTGAGCCAGTTTTGAGGTTTTTCAAGCACTTTTGCTACAAAACACTAGACCCCAGCTCAGAGCTGCAGGAACTCCCCAGATGGGGAACTTACCTCTCCGAGCAGCAAACACTGAGCTCCAGGCAAGCACCACCAGTAACTCTTTCCACAGCCCCATGATGCTAGACTCACTGTCCTAGTACAGGAACATATATTCTCAAAAGAAATTATAGATGTATATCTTCTGATAGACAACCTCTGTGATCAGTGCCAGTGATTTATACTCCACACCCCTCCCAGTCAAGACCTGCTGAGCCCAGCAGCCAGCACAGGTGCTAGGAATTCCTCATTTGTTTCAATCAGGAAAGATCCCGGCCCAGTTGACAGAGCAGCTTCCAGTTCCCACTCACAAGCAAATCCTATTGTTTGCTGCAAACCCTGCCCCTGCTAAACCAAGCCCAGTGTGATGGGCAAGTTTGTTTTTACCCTGAAATAAAATAGTTTTCTGTAGCATACTGTTAGGTTAACAATAATTTAGATTATTAAATAGTATTAGCTTTGTAGCTAAACACAAGGCATGACCTGTGGCCTAGCAATGTTGCTGACCACAAGACAGAATGATAATTAAGCCAGCCATTTTCTTATGTCAAGTACCTTAACCATTTTGTTAGAAAAAAGCAGAAATTAAGTCTGTGTACTGAGTACCAGCTGCAGCTAGGAGTGAGATAAGATAAGGCGGGCCCAGAGGGAAGAAGATGGTACAGTGGAGTACAGGAAAACAGATTGGAATGTGTAAGATAACACTAACTTTTTTCTTCTGGAAAAGTACTGAGATTTGTAATGCACCATGTAAGGAGATGATTACCATAAGTATTGCATATTCAATAACCTTGTAGTTTTCTTTGTTAGAAAATGTATAAAAGACAGCCCCACCCTTAAGTCGGGGCCATTTTGCGTCTTTGCTGTTTTATGGTCTTTACTCAAGTAAATAAACTGTAGTTAACCCTTCACCTGTGTTGTCTGGTCTCTAAGCCAGCTAGACAACGGACACTACGGAGTTTTCTCCCATGACACCAGAGAACAGGCAGGTGAGTCCCCTGCAGATATGCCCCACTGGGTTAGGCTCTAGGGAGCTAGCTAGGCTTTCAGATGCCTAAAGGAAGTCAGTGGGGCTCCAGGCACTGTCTAGATTTGCTGCCACACAGCAGTTTGCAGAACTGAGGCCCTTGGTTGCAATTTCTTTGCAGCTATATATCCTTTGCAGAGCATGCTGGGAGTCTGTCCCCAGTAAGGCAGCAATATGCAGGTAGTGGGGTCTGTGTACGAAGTGGGTGAGCTGAATGTAATGCTAGCACTGCCATGGGGCCTGATCCTGAGTAGGGCTCTTGGACTCCATTGGTAAATATTAACCAGCAAGTGGAAGCAGCAGAATAAGTATCTTGATGTGAGACTTTCTCTGCCCTTCAGTGTGGAAGGCTTTATCCACATTGAAACAGGTTTGCTGCTAGAGATGAAGCTGCAAAACTTCCTTGTGGAGATGAAGCTTATACCTCTTCCCTAAGTAGGAGAGGCTCTTCTGGCAAAAGGAATTTGTGCCAGTACAACTGCATCCACACTGTGGCTGGTGCTTATATAGTTATAGTGATGAGGGGTGGGGAACAGGGGTACATAAGCATTATTCTTTATCAACCCATACTTTGTTGACCTATACATCTATGCCAGCAAAACTTGTAAGTGCAGCCCCCTACTGGGCTGATACATCAGGAGGTGCTGCTTTTTTGGGGTTCCACAAAAGAGATGTCCTGGCAGTCGGGAGTAATTTAAAATCCAAATTCTGAGCACAATAGCCCTGGTATCCTGAACAAACGTCACCAGGAAGGTGTCCCCACATTCTGCCTTCCTGAAATCCCTCCCGGTTTCTTCCAGAGGAGGCAGGCTTCACTTCCTCTCTGACAACAAGGCTGATGTGCTGCCATGTTTCAGTGGTAGGGAGTATGCATCCCACTTAAAGAGGCTGTGAAGTGATTAGGATGTATAGCAATCTATACATGTTGGGTATTAACAGCAGCTGCAGGACTGGAAAGTCCCTGACTATAGTAAAAGTGAGTAGCAGTGCCAGCACCACATGCAACTAACCCACTTCACATACAGACCCTGCCTCCTACACATTGCTGCCCTGCTGCTGACAGACTCCCAGCATGCTCTGCAAAAGCAAAGTAGCTGCAAGGCAACCTGGATTGATTATTAGATCTTGGAGCTTTAGCTGCAGCAGTGACCTATTTTAGAGCTTCACTCTGCCCTTGCACATGTGCTTAACGTTAAGCATATGAAAATTTGTAGAACAAAGCCCTTGATTCTCTGCACAGCTACCCTGGATAGGGCCCAATTCTGAATGGGACTCAGGTCTCTGGTCTGCCACTGACCTGCTGCATGATTCTGATCAAGTCTATTCTACTCTCAGTGCTGTAGTTTCTTCATCTGCAAAGCAGGAGCAATAATAGTGGCCCACCACTGAAACATGTTTAAGGAGCCTGGACTAAAAAGCACTGCACAAGCATTATTCTTTATCAACGCTCAGATCTTCTAAGGCAGGGGCATCAAACATCTGGCTCGTGGGCCAGATGTGACCCATGGAGGTGGGACATCCAGCCCACAAGGCTTCCCACAAGGCCTGGAAAACCCACCTCCAAATCCAGCTTGCAGGGCTGGAAATTTGGTAGTGGGGTAAGAGGCAGCGGTGCTAACCCCTGGAACAGCCAGCACTGCTGTGTTGACAAGGGCAGCACTCTGGAGGTTAACACTGCAGTTACTTGCCCTGCTGCCAAATTTCCTGTTTGGGATCTCCACTGGGGATGCAATTCTGCGCAGCAAGGTAAGTATCAGTGGCATTAACCTTGTGGATGCTGATCCTGCCAACCTAACACCTCTGGCTGCTGCAGGGAGTTAATGCTGCCATTATTTGCCCAACCACCAAATTTTCAGGCCAAGATCCCCACTGGGGACACAATCTGGTAGCAGCAGGGCAAGCAACAGCAGCGTGAACTCCTGTGGCTGCCAGAGTCACTGTGCCAGCAGGAACAATATACAGAGAGTTAATGCCACTGCTACTCACCCTGGCACTGTAGTTCAGCCCTCAAGAACTGCCATGATTTGGAATGGGTTTATGCGGCCTCATGAGTTTGACATTCCT